ACAGAAGTATACCCAGAGACATGTTCCCTAAAACACACACACACATAAACACACATACACATACACACACACACACACACACGCGCGCGCGCGCGCATATACCCCCCAAACATCCTGGTACCTGCCTTTTCCTCCTCCTCCTCTCCCCTCCTCTCTCTCTCTCTCTCTCTTCTCTCTCTCTCTCTCTCTCTCTCTCTCTCTCTCTCTCCTTCTCTTCTCTCTCTCTCAGTCTACTCTCTTTCGTACCCAGTTACTCTTAGCGTTGTCCGCTGGGAGATCGCTGAAAAGGTGAGGGAGAGGGAGAGGAGAGGGAGGAGGAGAGGGAGAGGGGAGGGAAAGGGGGGAGGAGAGGAGGGAGGGAAGGAGAGGGAGGGAGGAGGGAGGGAAGGAGGGGAGAGGAGGAGGGGAAGGAGAGAGAGAGAGGGAGCGGAGAGAGGAGAGAGAGAGAGGAGAGAGAGAGGGGAGAGAGAGAGAGAGAGAGAGAGAGAGAGAGAGAGAGAGAGAGAGAGAGAGAGAGAGAGAGAGAGAGAGAGAGAGAAAGAAGAGAGAGAGAAGAGAGAGAGAGAGAGAGAGGAGAGAGAGAGAGAGGAGAGAGAGAGAGAGAGAGAGGAGAGAGAGAGAGGAGAGGAGGAGAGAAGAGAAGAGAGAGAGAGAGAGAGGAGAGAAGAGACGAGGAGAGAGGACGAGAGAGAGAGGAAGAGAGATGAGAAGAGAAGATAGAGAGAGAGAGAGAGAGAGAGAGGAGGATGAAAGATTGCAGCGACCATCACTTAGGTTCACAGCGAAAGACGGACATTTCTCTTTCTCTCTTTCTCTGTTTCCTGTCTTCTTCTTTCTTTCTTCTTTTATTCCCCCCCCCCTCTCTCTCTCTCTCTCTCTCTCTCTCCTCTCTTCTCTCTCCTCTCTCTCTCTCTCTCTCTCTCCTTCTCTCTCTTCTCTCTCCTCTCTCTCTACGGTTTCCCTCTATTCCTTCTTTCTTCCCCTACCTCTATCTCCTCTTCTCTCCTCCTCTCTTTCTGTTTCCTCTCGTTTCTTGCTTCTTTCTCCTACACCCCCTCTTTTCGTTTCTCTCTCTTCCTCTCTTCATTCCCTCCCCCCCCCCCTATTCCTCTCTTCTCTTCCTCTTGTCCCCTTTGTCCCTCTGTTCGTACACTTCTTTGTCATAATATTATTTTTAGGCGAAATAAAATGGGAGGCAGATAAACAAATGGGAGGGTGTATTGATACGACCAGAATTGAGCGGAGAGGGAGGGGAGGAGAGAGGCGAGGAGGGAGGAGGGGAGGGGGAGGGGAAGGGGGAAGAGGAGGGCGAAGGGACAGGGGGAGGGAGGGAGAGAGGGAGAGGAGGGGGAGGAGGGAGGAAGATGGAGGGGGGAGGGGGGAGAGGGAGGGAGGGAGGGAGGGAGGGAGGGGGGAGGGAGAGAGAGCGAGAGCGAGAGGGAGGAGAGAAGAGAGAGAGAGAGAGAGAGAGAAGAGAGAGAGAGAGGAGAGACGATGAGAGATGGAGAAGAAGAAAGAGAAGAGAGAGAGAGAGAGAGAGAGAGGAGAGGGGAGGGACGGAGGAGAGAGGAGGAGGGAGGGAGGGAGGGAGGAGGAGGAGGGAGGGAGGTGAGGGGAGGGAGGGTAGGGAGGGAGGGAGGTGGAAGCGATGGGAGGGAGGGACGGAGAGGGGGGGGCGAAGGGCGAGGGAGGTCGAGGGAGCGAGGGAGGGAGAGGGAGGGAGGGAGCGAGGAGGGAGAGGGAGCGGAAGGTGGGAGGGAGAGGGAGGAGAGAGGGAGGGAAGGTGGAGAGGGAGAGAGGAGGGAGGGGGGGAGGGTTTGGGGAGGGAGGGAGGGGAGGGAGGGAGAGGGAGAGAGGCAGAGAGGAGAGAGAGAGAGAGAGAGGAGAGAGAGAGAGGAGAAGAGATGAGAGAGAGAGAGAGAGACGAGAGGAGAGGGAGAGAGAGAGAGAGAGAGAGAGAGAGAGAGAAATGCCAGACCAGAGAAAAGAAAAGAAAAAAACCAACTACAATAATAACAAAACAACAATAACAACAACCACAAACACAACGACAATGATATCAAGAATGCCAACCAAAACAATAATAATACCAATAATTACAAAAACAATATAACCAACAACCATCACAACAAAACAACCACAAATACAACAACAATGACAACAACAAAATCAATAATAATAAAACAAAAAACAAGTGATATCAAGAATGCCAACCAAAACAACAATAATAAAAAAAATATAACCAACAACCATCATAACAAACCAACCACAAAAAACAACAACAATGACAAACAAAAACAAAAAAACAAAAAAACAAAACAACAACGACACATAAAAAAACAATAAAAAAAACAACAATGACATAAAAAAAGCAATAACAATGACATAAAAAAACAATAAAAAACAAACAACAATGACATAAAAAAAAACAATAAAAAAACAAAACAAACAATGACAATAAAAAAACAAAAAAAAACAAAACAATAAAAAAATAAAAACAAAAAACCCAGCCTCACTTTCCTTCAAGACCCACAGACAGAAGCGTCGTCTTCTGAGGAGCCGCGTCTCCTCGACAGGCACGAAGAGGAGGCATTAAGCAGGAAGGGACTGTCACGGGACGCATGACAGGCAGGAAGTGGCATATGGCACTTGTCTCCCATGGGTGGGCGGGATTGAAGGGGGCGGGGGGGAGGGGAGGAGGAGGGGAGGGGAGAGTGGGAGGAGGGGAGCAGGGGGGGGAGGAAAAGGAGGAGGTAGAGAGGCGGAGGGGGGGGAGGGGGGAGGGGAGGAGGGGAGGGGGAGGAGGGGGAGGAAGGAGGGGGAGGGAGGAGGAGGAGGGAGGAAGGGAGGGGAGAGGGAAGGCATAAAATCTCCATTGTCATTAGGGGCGCAGCAATGACACGTGATGACAACTGTGGTGAAATATAAATGATGGTGTTTTTATTGATGGTAATTTTATAGCCGTCTACTCATCCGTATAATATACATACATATATATACAACATACATACATAAACAACACGCACGCATATGATGTAATGTTGTGTGTGTGTGTGTGTGTGTGTGTGTGTGTGTGTGTGTGTGTGTGTGTGTGTGTGTGTGTGTGTGTGTGTGTGTGTGTGTGTGTGTGTGTGCGTGTGTGTGGTGTGTGTGCGTGTGTGTGTGTGTGTGTGTGTGTGTGTGTGAGTGTGTGATGTGTGAGTGAGTGAGTGTGTGTGTGTACAAAAAGATGTTCATAAACCCATAGAAGGACTAAAATGAAAAAAAAAATCAGTCATACCAATTCTTAATAATCTAATGAGATTGATCATAATAACTCACAACAAATAACTCTTTACTCACTATAAATAACTAAATAATTTTTATCACAATTCATCGGAAATCATTAAACTTCCAGATCAAAGTCGTGTAAGTTTCAGAGACAAAAACATAGGCCTATTTAACACGACTCCCAGCGAAGCAAAGGTCATTTCAGATTGGTAAAGATGGCCATGAATGAAGAAAACGAAGATGATGATGATGATGAAGATGATGACGATGATATGATGATGATGATCATGAGATGATAAAGAAACGATGATGATGCTGATAAAGATAACGAAGGAGAAGATGATTGAAGAAAATAAAGATGATGACGAAGACGATGATGATAAAGATAACGAAGGGATGATGAAGAAAACGAAGATGATGATGATGATGATGATGATAAAGATGACGAAGGAGAAGATGATGAAGAAATCGATAACGATGAATGATAACAGATGATGAAGCTCATTTCAGATTGATGATGGTAAATGATGGCGAAGAAGGAGATGATGATGATGATGGAAATGATGGATGAAATGAATGATGAAAACGAAGAAAAGATGATGATGATGATGAAGAAGATAACGAAGAAGATGAAGATGATGATGATGATGAATGATAAAGAAGAAGATGAAGATGATGATGGTGATGAAGAAAAAGAAGAAGAAGATGATGATGATGATGAAGTAACGAAGAAGACGAAGATGATGATGATGATGAAGATAAACGAATGATGATGGTGATAAAGAAAACGAAGGAGAAGAAGATGATGATGGTGATGAAAAAACGAAGGGAAGAAATGATGTTGATAAAGAAAACGATGATGATGAAGATGATGATGGTGATGAAGAAAACGAAGGAGAAGAAGATGATGATGGTGATGAAGAAAACGAAGAAGAAGAAGATGATGGTGATGAAGAAAACGATGATGATGAAGATGATGAAGATGATGATGATGATGATGATAAAGATAACGAAGAAGATGATAACGTTGATAATGATGATAAAGATAACGAAGGGGAAGAAGAAGATGATGAAATCGATAACGATGATGGTTATGATGAAGATAACGAAGAAGAAAAAGATGATGAAGACATCAATGATGATGATGAAATAACGATGAAAGATGAAGAAATCAATGATGCTTTTGAAGAAACCGAAGATAAAAAAAACGAAAAGACGGGATACAAAATGGACAAAGGAGGAAAAGAAAGCCACCCCTACAAACAGCCCTCACGCCAAAGCCACTCGCCGAAAAGAACTCGCCGCCCACTCGCCGAGCCGCCCACTGCCGCCCACTCGCCGACAGCTTCAGACCGCCACTCGCCGCCCAAGCCACTTCTGCCGCCCACTCGCCCACTCCGCCCACTCGCCGCCCACTCGCCGCCCACTCACTCCGCCCACTCACCGCCCACGCCGCCACTCGCCCCACAAGGAACCGCCGAAGCCCTCTCGAGTCCACCGCCCTGCCCTCCGAAGAATTATCCGACCAACGGCCTTCCATCACCATCTTTACCGGTGTTACTGCCATCGCCAACGTCCGTAACCCACGTTTGTCAGTACATGCTTGCCACCTGAGATTGCTATGACACGCCTGCCATCAGTAATTGCCACCATACGTTTGCTTTCCATACATCTGCCACGTTTGCCACCATAATGCCACCATACGTCTTGGCACCAGAATCTACCACCACATGCCTGCCACTAAACAGACACTGCCACCAGAAACTACCAACACACGCCTGCCACCATACACCTCTCACCAGCGAATCCCACCAAATTCCTTGCCACTAACAACTACCACCATAAAAACTATCACCCCACACCATTCACCAAACGCCTACCACCCTACACCTCCCACCAGCAACTACCACCACACGCCAACCACTAGCGACAACCATCCACATACATCTGCCACCAACCGCTTACCACCCTACACCTACCACCACACCGCCTACCACCTTCCACTTTCCACCAGCAACTACCACCCTACACCTACCACCACACGCCTACTACCAAACACCTCTCACCCGCAACTACCACCAGCGCCCCCCACATCCACATACATCTGCCACCAGCAACTACCACCCTACACCTACCACCACACGCCCCCCACCCTACACCTTCCCACCGCACGCCTACCACCACCCCCACCCCACCATCCACGCGCCCACATCGCGGTCATCATGACAGGGGTAACTACAAGCCGGAATCAGCTGTCGGAAGCACCTGTAATGGCCGCAGACAACATCACTTAAATGACTAATTGGGGCTGTTACTTCAGGCATCAGTGGATTGAGAGGGAGGAGGAAGTGGGGGAGAGAGGTGGAGGGGGGAGGAGTGGAGGGAGAGAGGGGGGAGGGGGGGAGGGAGAGGGAGGGAGGAGGGAGGGAGGGGAGGGCAGGGAAGGGAAGGGAAGGGAAGTGAAGAGGAAGGGAAGGGAATGGAAGAGAAGAGAAGAGAAGAGAAGAGAGGAGTGGAGGAGGAAAAAGAGAGAAAAGAGAGGAGAGAAGAGAAAAGAAGAGACAAAAACGAAGAAAGAAAAGAAAAAAAAGAAAAAGAAGGAAAAGAGATATTTCAAAAATACCACTAAACAAAACACAGAACAATTCTTACTCGCCTTTTCCAACCTCCCCCCCCCCGCCCCCCCCAAAAAAAAGTAACCTGACACCCAGTGAAAAAAAACCTTCCGCCCCAAAGAAGTGGAAAAGCCCCACGTGTCGCGCTAAAAAAGAAAAAAGACGGAAAAGGAGAGACGGAATCGAAGGATGAAGGAAGGGAGGAGAGGAGAGAGAAAGGCAAAGGGGGAAGGGGAAGAGAGGGAAAGGGAAGGGATGGATAAAGGGAGAGGAGGGAAAGAAGAAAAAAAGTGCGTGTTATTTATACACACACACACACACATACACAAATACATACATATACATACACATACATATTTAGAGAGAGAAAAAGAGAAAAGAGAGGAAAGAGAGAGAGGAAGAGAGAGAGAGAGAGAGAGAGAGAGAGAGAGAGAAGAGAGAGAGAGAGAGAAAGAGAAAGAGAAAGAGAAGAGAAAGAGAAAGAGAGAAAGAGAAAGAGAAAGAGAAAGAAAAGAGAAAGAAAGAGAAAGAGAAAAGAGAAAAAGAAAAAAGAAAGAAAAAGAAAAAGAAAAATGAGAAAAAAAAGAAAAAGAAAAGAAAAAGAGTAAAAGAAAGAGAAAAAGAAAAAGAACGAGAGACAGAGACAGACAGACACAGACAGACAGACATCAAGGAAGGGTTGTCGGCGCAGGGTGTGTTCTGACAGCACCGGCGAGAGATGATCGAACACTGTATGGCCGCGAGATCGAACACGACGCGCTAAAAGGTCGAAATGATCTAAATTCATCAATGAGAAATGAACAACAAAGGCCAAAGCTTTCAATTAATTTATGGCTTTTTCAAATTAGATTTATGGCTCTTTTTCAAATTAGATTTACTTTTTCAAATTAGATTTATTTCAACTACGACTTCGACTTTTTTACTTTGACTTATTTATGGCCCTTTTTCGACTTTGACTTTGACTTCGACTTTTTGACTTCGACTTTTTTTTTCGACTTTTTGACTTTGACTTGACTTTCTTTTTGACTTTGACTTTGACTTTGACTTTCGACTTTTTGACTGATTTTGACTTGACTTTGACTTTGACTTCGACTTTTTTTGACTTTTTTTTGACTTTTTTTGACTTTTTTACTTTGACTTTTTGACTTCGACTTCGACTTTTTGACTTCGACTTTGACTTTTTGACTTCGACTTTTTGACTGACTTGACTTTGACTTTCGACCTCGACTTCGACTTTGACTTTGACTTCCACTGACATTTCTGATGGCGGCGGGAAGCTGGAGCGAAACAGGAAAAATATGAGAAATTATCCATGCGTAATTTTGATCGAATTTGTAATTACAGAAATCATCCTGGTGAGACAAGTAGTTTTTTTTTTAGTTTTATAACGATAATAATAAAATGGCAAATACATTAGCATCTATAACACCGAGAAAATAATAACAGGAACAATACTAAACATCATTAATAAATTACCAGTGACAGAAATACCGTCAAAAACTGCAACAATAAAAACATCAACAAATTAAAACATAACAAAAACACAGCAAATAAAAAAAAATCATCAGCAAAAACAAAACACACAAACAAAACAAAAACACCCACAAACACACAAACAAACAAACAAGCCAGACCAACGTGTCCCAAAATCCGAGCCGGCAAAGAAACACCAACAAAACAAAAACAAAAACATCAAAACACCCACAAACAAAACAAACACAACAAACCAAAACAAAAACAAAACAAAACAAAACTAAACAAACAAACAAACAAACCAGACCACGTGTCCCAAAATCCGAGTCGGCGAGATCAGCGACGCCGGTCTGAGGCGGCCACAAGATCCGACACCGTGAATCCGGTTTTTTTTTATTTTTTCCAACTTTTATTTTTTTATTTTATTTTTCCAACTTATTTTCCGTATTTTAGCATTTCTCGTTTTCGTATTTTTTGGTCTACGTTTTTTTCGTTATTCTGGTTGTTTATTATTTTTTTTCGTATTTTCTTTCTCTTTCTTCTCTTCCTCATGTCTTCTCCTTCATTTATCCCTTCTCTTCCCTGTTTCTCTCGCTCCTCTCTGATCCTCTTCCTATTCTCTTTCTCATTCCTTTTTTCCACTATCCCAACCTTCCTCCTTCCCTCCCTTCCCTCCATCCCTCCCTCTTTCATACCCCTCCCTCCCTCCTTCATCCCCTCGTCCCTCCCTCCTTTCCCCCCTCCCTCCCTCCTCCCTCCTATCCCCCTCCCTCCCCCTCCTCCCTCCCCTCCCTCCCTCCCCTCCCTCCTTCCTCCCTCCCTCCCTCCTCCTCCCCTTCCTTCCTCCCTCCCTCCCTCCTTCATCCCCTCCCTCCTCCACTTTTCCCCCCTCCCTTCTCCTCCCTCCCTCCTCCCTTTCCTCCATCTACGCCTAAAATACAACTAATTTACAAAGAGAGAAAAAAAAAAGTTTACAAGGGCCGATGTCCCTTTTCGGGCCGCGGTTGGGGGGGAGGGGGGAGGGAGGGAGGAGGAGGAGGAGGAGAGGAGGAGGGAGGAGGAGGAGGAGGAGGAGGAGGAGGAGGAGGAGGAGGGGAGGAGGAGGAGGGGGGAGGAGGGGGATGAGGAGGGAGAAGGGAAAGGAGAGGAGATGAATGTGGGGAGAGGAAGGGGAGGAGAGGAATAGGAGGAGGAGGGGGAGGAGGAGGGGGAAGGGGAGGGGGAGGAGAGGAGAAGGAGGAGGAGGAGGAGAGGGGAGGAGGAGGAGGGGGGAGGGGGGAGAGAAGGGGAAGGGGAGAGGGAGGGAGAAGAGGGAAGAAATGGAGGAGGGAGAGGGAGGGAGGAGGAGGAGGAGGAGGAGGAGGGGAGGGAGGGAGGCAGGAGAGGAGGAGGAGGGGGAGGAGGAGGAGGATGGGGAGGGAGGGAGGAGGAGAGGAGGAGGAGGAGGAGGAGGAGGGGGAGAGGAGGAGGAGGAGGGAGGGGAGAGGGAAAGGAGGAGGAGAGGAGGGAGAAAAAGAAGAACAAGAAGAGGTGGGAAAATGGAGGGAGAATAAAGAGATCAAATGGAAGAACAGAAAAGTAGGAGAAGGAAGAAACAACCGGAGGAAGAGTAGAAGCGGAGAAGTTGAGGAAGAGGGGAGGGAGGGAGGAGGGAGAAGTAGAAGAGTAGAAGAGGAGGAAGAGAAATAGAAGAGGAAGAGGGAGGGAGGGGGGGGATCCCAAGACCGGCGCTGGTCTACTCACGACGTCAGAGCTCGACTCCACCCTCTCTCTTCCTCCTCTCAGTTCCTCTCTATTTTTCTCCTTTTTCTTACTCTCTATTCCATCATTATTATTATTATTATTATTATTATCATTGTTCTTATTCTTACTCTTTCTATGTTTTTCCTCTCTTTTTAAATTCTTTCTTCCTTGTCTTTACTTTCCTCTCTTCCTCCTCTCAGTTCCTCTCTATTTTCTCCTTTTTGTTTTACTCTTTTACTCTTTCTATTCTTTTCCTCTCTTTTAAATTCTTCCCCTCTCTCTCCTCACTTTCCTCTTCCTTCCTCTCTCCTCCCCTCTATTTTTCTCCTTTTTTAACTCTTTCTATTCTTTCCCTCTCTTTTACATTCTTCCCCTCCTGTTCTCTCTCCTCCTCTCTATTTTTCTCCTTTTTTATTCTTTTACTCTTTCTATTCTTTCCCTCTCTTTTAAATTCTTCCCCTCTCTGTCCTCATTTTCCTCTCTCCTCCTCTCTGTTCCCCTTCTATTTTTCTACTTTCTACTTTTACTCTTTCTATTCTTCCCCACTTTTTAAATTCTTCCCCTCCTTGTCTCTACTTTCTTCTCTTCTCCCTTCCTCTCCTATTCTTTTTTCCTTTATTTCTTCCTCCCCTATTCTCTTCCCTTATTTCTTCCTCTCATATTCTCCCTAAATTTTCTTCCTCTTTTTTCTCTTCTCTTCCTTATTTCTTCCTCTCCTTCTCTTCCTTTATTTCTTCCTCTCCATTCTCTTCCTTTATTCTTCCTCTTCCTTAACTCCACACCCTCCTCATTACGACAAGAAAACCGTGATGAAGACAACAACAACAAACAAACAGAAAACAAAAATGAAAAAAAAAACGAAAAAAATAGCACCAATGATGGCCTGATTTTTCTCTTTCTCTTTGTGGCTTCCGACGCCGAAGAGGGGGGAGGGGGGATGGGGGATGGGGTGTAGGAAGATGGATTGGGCGGGGGGGGGGGAGACAGACATAAGTAGATAGATAGATGGATACATAGATAGATAGATCCTGAGGGATGTAGACGGATAGAACGAGAGAGAGAGAGAGAGAGAGAAAGAGAAAGAGAAAGAGAAAGAGAGAAAAAAGAGAAAGAAAAAAAAAGAGAAAAAAAGAGAAAGAGAGAAAGAGAAAGAAAGAGCGATAAATAGAAAAAATAGATAAATAGATAGAGACCGAGAGAGAGACCCAAAAACGAGAGACTGGGAGGTCAGGAGACACCTCACACAGACACACTCACACAAAAAAAGAGAAGTGAGGCGACCAACAAACCCGACAAATATGTAAATCACACCGGGGGCTCAGGTGCGCAAAAAACAAGACCCCTCAAAAAAAAAAAAGTCCAAAAAAAGAAAAAAAAAGACCCCTAAAAAAAAAAAAAAAAAAAAAAAAAAAGCCAGACGGAGTGGGATTTTTTTTTTTTTTTTTTTTTTTTTTTTTAAGCTA